TGTATGTTGTGGTGATAAAATTCTTTTTCCCTTAATGCCTTCACTGAAATGGGGCAGTTCAAAATGCAGATTATCTGAAGTCTTTCCCTCAGTAAACAAGGGAGTATTCTCTGAGGAGACGATGCTGCAGACATTTCGCAGCTTACCCAAGGATCCCAAACCTAAATAGACTTTTGCCGCACAAGGAATTTTTGTTATTCTAGACTTAATTGTCGAACCACCAATCTAGATCATTGGCCATCGCCTCGCGAGAGTAAGATAAACTTCCTCTCGTTACAAAGGTGGGAAACGGAATCCTTGAGCGCAAAATCATTGTCAGGAATGTTCCTGCAGCTAAGTAAAGCATATTCGGTAAGAAAGATCCTTCTCCGGTAGCCTGCAGTGCAGCCGGACATGTCACTCAAACCCAGGATAAGATGATTAGGGCTGTAGTGAAGGCTCTCTGCGACGCGGCCACTTTTCCAGTGGCTGGAAACGTTGATTTATGACATAATGGTGGGGCCACATAATAGATCATAATAACCAAGCCCATCCTTAGCGTAAGTTCAGAGCGTGATAGGAGTCTCTTTGATGGATTGTTCCTTTCTCAGCTATTACCATCGCCATAACTCGCATCATTGTCGTTATTCACCTAATCATCATTATCATTATCCTTACCCTCATCGTCATCGTCATCGTTATCACCGTTGTCTTGAAGTCTAACATTCAAGTCATTGAAGAGAATTGGGCCAAATACCATTTTCCGGAGGATGACCGCCTGCCTTGTTCTACATCCATCTGGCATGCACATTACATCTTAATATTGGACGCCACTAACTATCAGGAAAGCGTAGGCCACAACCATCTAGCCATCCGAGGTGGTAAAGAAGAATTTGCCATCGAATATTGTCAGCTTTGAAGATTACTAAGTCTTTGCACGTGGCACGTTTCCGGCAGCGGCCATCTTGAGTTCTTCTTTCAACTGCAATTCATCGGAGAGAGAGTGCCATATTGTGCTTTCCATACAGCTCAGTTTAATATATCGCTACTCATCGCACATGAAAATGTCCATCCGTCATGCTGGCCCACGAAACGACACATTTAAGGATGTGTCCTTTCATCGCAAGGAGCATGAAACTCTGAGTAGCAATAAATGTCTTCGACCAAGTACTCCTTGTCTACAAATCTATCTATCTATATATATATCATGATATACATATATATATATAATGAAAATTAAGTTTCCCGGTAGACCACGTCTCCGATTACGTAAACAACATCTTCGATTGCCGTGTTGCCAGCATGGTTGTCCTGATAGTGTAGTGGTCATCACACCTGACTAGTAACAGGCGGACGTGGGTTCAAATCCCGCTCAGGGCAAATTTTCTTTTCAAACGTTTATTCTATTAGTATGATTATTTGGGGTGTACAGGGTCAGGGTTTCCCTCGTATACAGAATTTATATATATATTTAGTATAATTTCAGAGCTGAGCATAGAGTTTCTAGCAATCTGATTGGTCGAGCGGTTCCTTATATGGCGCTATATAAACCGCTCCACGCGGTCTACATAAAACGTTAAAATGAAATGTTCATAAATGTTACTAAAATGTTCTGATTTTAGAAATTTCTCTGTTGTTCAGCCCTTAAATTATATTAAAACAATTATTCGCCTCAGGTTCGGTGAATATTGTCGAATAAAGCCCTCGACCTCGTCTCGGGGATTATTCGACGATATTCACCTCCTCTTCGGCGAATAATTGTTAAATATAGGGATTAAACTTGGTGTCCGTGAAACAGTGCTCGATACAAATAGTAGAGCGGGTATAATGTGTGGCAGGCGAAAAAAATACGACTACATATACATGCCTACAGACCTGTTTCGTGGTTGCCCACTCATCAGGGGATTTTAATGGCAGAACAATGCGATACCATCGCCTATATACTACACTAATTGCTAAATAACATGGTTTATGCAGTGTGAAAAGTGTCAAGTCAACTTTTGCGTAGGAGGGCTTTGTTTCTGTGTCGGCAGGAAGAGACAAGTTACGCTTGTTGAGTGATCAACACTCAACAAGCGTAACGAACTCTTCTTCTTTTTTTTTTGAGCAGTAACACCAACATCGGCCTCTGCAGAGACGACGGCCTCACTAAAGAACGCATCAGGCCCGGAGGCGGACCGCTTTAGGAAAACAACATTAGCCCATTTCAAACAATACGGCCTTTTAATCTCCATAAACACCAACTTAAAAACAGTCAACTTCCTCGACGTCTCACTAAATCTAACGAAAGGAACATAATGCCCTTACAGAAAACCCAACAACGATCCCCTCTACGTCCATGCTAAATCCAACCATCCCCCTTCCATCATCAAGCACCTTCCACAGCCTATTAACCGGCGTATCTGTGACCTCTCCTGTAACGAAGATGTATTCAACAAGGCCAAGCCCACATACGAAGACGCCCTGAAATCAAACGGATATAACACCCATCTCTCCTACTTCAAGCCACCACACCTTCCCCCCCTAGTTCCCGTGACTGCTCAAAAAAAAGAAGAAGACAGATAATCTGGTTCAACCCCCCCCCCTTCACCAAAAACGTCCAAACTAACGTCGGTAAAACTTTCCTTACACTTGTTCAGAAGCAGTTCCCCACCTCTCACAAATACCACAAAATCTTTAACAAAAACACCATCGCAGTCAGCTACAGTTGTATGGACAACATGGATTCTATTATCAGGAGGCACAATCAGAAAATCCTGAACCCCCCCGCGACTAGCCAAGACTGCAAGTGCAACTGCAGAGTAAAACAAGCCTGTCCCTTACAGAAGGCCGACGTAGTTTTTGCCCGTTTGGTCTTTGTTTGTGGTGACTTTAGCCTTGTAAATTAACTAGGAAGCGAGGCAGTTGTCCCTCACAGAACAACTGCCTTGCTTCCTCCTTAATTTACAAAGCTAAAGTCACCACAAACAAAGACCAAACGGGCAAAAACTACGTCGGCCTAACAGAAAATTCTTTTAAACAAAGATACACGCAGCATTCCCTCTCATTCCGAAACAAAGCCTACACTAGCAGCACCGAGCTATCCAAATACATTTGGGAACTTAAGAGCACCAACACTCCCTGCTCCATTCATTGGTCGACAATCCACAAAGCCGCATCTTACGAAGGAAATTCAAGAACATGCAACCTCTGCCTTGCCGAAAAATTCCTCATTATCACCGCGGACAAATTCACTTCATTAAACAAACGATAAGAACTCATTTCCAAGTGCCGCCATGAAAACAAGTTCTACTTGCGAAACCAATAGAAATTCCTTTTGTCTTCTTAATTGCTTCCTATTATTTTAACTATATTTTCTATTTATAAATTGACTTTACAGCACGGTATGTTTTCCATCGACAATAAACCGTCTGACGATCGCAGCGCAAGCTCCGTGAAACTCAGAGTAACGGTGAAGCGATCTTCCTGTCATTAATTTATAACCGCTATTGAAACGCTCTGCAACCCGCATCGAGCACTTTTTCACAGCCACGACTTCTGCTAGTCTGTTTATATATATATATACAGACTAGAAACAATAAATTAGTTATATATTTATAACTAACTGCAATCAGTACTGTTTTGGCCTTCTGGGCCTCATCAGTACAGTGCTGATGCTAGGATGGGGGAGAACCGATGTGATTACTCCAAACGATCCCACATTTGTGGTATCGTCTAAGCCATGCCAGAGTGCTCAAACTAGAAAAGCCTAATGTAACACCCTTACTTCGTTTTAAAGGAAGGACAATGAAAATTTTTGAGCCCAAATTTCAAGCTAATATCCTTGTTTAATTCTCGTACTGTGCTAAGTTAGTAGTTTATCCTCCTTTTCTAAACAGTTTCTAATCTTTCTTAATCAACAATTGTTTAAATGATGTCAAAAAGAATAACGTGTCTCATTATTTCTCTTGATGATATTCAATTCTTTATTAGACAGAACCTTCCTTTCAACCTCTAGGGCATATAAGAAAATGATATTGAGCCGAGGTCATAAGACGTAAGGATGAATCCAACGCCCTGAGGGGCACCACTAGGATCCCTACTCCTCCAGGAAAAGTCCACTTAGATATGCTTTTCTGAATCATGCTTGGTCAGAAATACTCCTCAATGTTGCAGTCACAGGACCCCCTGATATGTCTCACGGTTGGTGTGGTCAAGAAACCAACTTTAGTCCCCATATTTAATTATGGCGCTGATGCTATTGACAGCGGTGAAATTGACAAAAAATGGCAACCTCTCTACCCCAGTACTAGAGTCATCGCGCGTTTTTGTTTGTTTTGGATTTCAAGAGTTGTTTGACCATGAAGGATGTAAGATACAAATAGGTACTTTAAAATTATGTTTCTCCATGTTTTATTTTGATAGATTCCACAGAGGAAGCCGGGAGGTCACTTGACATTTTGACTCTGCATCAGAGATGCCGGGATATCGTTTGGCGAACGCAGACAAAGAGGCACTTGGAATAAAATACCTTTGTAACTCGTGCACATTTCTTCTAAAGGACGCTATTCAGACCAAATGTGGACATTTTTATTGTCAATCTTGCCTTGGAAATTTGTGTTTGTACGTGTGATAAGTAATTTAATATTTTTACTTCCGATCCGCAGTAAGCTTATAATAATCAGACTACAAGTTCAAAAACTTGACTTTAGAACACGGTTTGTGGTTTTCGCCTCTATGAATGCAAGGAAAGGGAAGATTTTGTGTCAATGTTAACTTATTACCAAGTGAAGGCCTTCAATCATGTTGAATTGGCCAAAAAAAATCCTTAATTTTTTTTTCTGTTTAAAACTGTGTGCCATGCTTTGAAAAGAACGAATGAGTCAAATGTCTGCTCACCTCCAAATTAACGAAAACAAACGGTCATGGACCTTATTGTAATCAATTCATTCTATATATTTTTAATACTGTGAAACATTGAATATTTCGCCCAAACTTCTTAAAAAGATGATTACTAATCGAATTTATAATGAATCATCTAGAAATGGAACATTAAATATGACCTGTGTCCAAGATCAACAAGTTCTCCTTCCACATGAGGTAAGGCACATCAGATCATGAGACTTACGTTACACAACACTTGTAGGTAGCATACTTGCTTCCTGTTTTCTCCAGTCATGACAACCTTTAACCTTCTTTTGAAAGACTTTTATCAATTAGAATTCATGATGCAGGGAAAAGAATGTCAAAATAAGTAATGATGATGATGATCAAACACTTGGAAGAAAATGATAATGGAACCTTTGATCGAATGTTTGTTGGAGTAAGACCACAGTCCATGATGGGAACATTGGTTTTCATACTATAAAACAAACATCAGATTTCTTGTGTTGTTTTAATTTATTTTAGATATTCAGGATATGATTGTTAAGCAATTACTTAGATGGAAAGTCTATGTATGGCTGTTTAGTAGTGTAGAATTTGATTTCTTAGCCCTTTTTTCTGAGGTCTTTCCTGATAACTTCATGCGGCGTGAAGTTCAAACATTGGTTGTGCACTGCTAATTTATGGAAGAAGGATGTAAATGGAAAGGGGAAGTGCGATATTTGGAGGTACTATTTGTCTTGATGGTTGGTTTAAAGTCTTGAGTCCAGTAATGTTCCTCTTTGAATGACTGTTTGTTAGAATTAACATTGTTTTTGGTTTGTTTATTTTGCTTTTTGACACCTGTACTTTATTGGGCAATCAAAAAGAAAAATAATTTTGTCATTTAAAACATGTACTGTGTGGCAAAATATTAAAATATGTATAAAGGGCGACAGTTTTTTAAGAAACTGTGGTGCTGCATCGGTGGGGGAGTATATCTAGATACCTTGGTTTGATCAACTCAGTTGATGATGTAGATTAGCCTCTGAAAAGAATGTCTAAAGCTGACGTTTTGAGGGTTAGCCCTTGGTAATTCACTCTGATGAGGTGCAAGCGCTCAAATCGTCAGCTTTAGACACTCTTTACTGTGGCTCTTCCTTATCAACTCAGTTGAGAAAACCCAAGTACCCTTTTAAAATATGTAGTCACCGATGTAACCTGTAACCAAATGGTGATTAATTTTTTTTACAAACTTATGTTGTGTGGAAAAGGTGATGCAAAAGGTTGTAGGTTGCAGAAATAAATATTTCACTCAGTTGTAAATTAAGAATAGATAGAGCAGAATCAAGAAGCTCATCTTACTGTCCGTTTCACTCAGTTAACATCTGTACAGCTGTACATGCTGTTGAAGGAGTCCAGCAGCCTTTGAAGCCTTGTAAATTGATTGCTCATCTTTTGTATCAGTTGTTTCTGTTTACATGCTGAAGGCAGTAGAGGTGCCACACATTCCTCTGCTAGGTAATCCAGATGATTGAGTACTTACTATTTCTTGTAATTTGGGTTTGATGCAGAATCACACAGTCAGCTGTGAATTTCTTAAAGTTCCATGTGTACATCCTGAGTGTGGGGCACTAGTGAAGAAAGCAGATCTTACTGAACACTTGGAGAAGGAGTGCAAGTGCAGGCTTGAAGCATGTGGGTTCTGCAAAAAACAAATCAAACTAAACACAATGAAGGTATGTAATTCTTGTGATTAAAACACACGCTGTAATTCTTGTGATTAATGTTGACTTCAATCAGTCCTCACCGAAAGTCAGAAGGCAATTCAAGTTTCAGTGCCATAAAAGGGTTCCTCTGGAAGTGCCCCTGAGGCATTGTTTTCTGAAATATGTAGCCAACATTTCTTATTTGACTATTAATTATTGTTTGTGTCAACTATTTTTTTGCGTTTTCAGTTGCACCACGAGAAGGAATGTCCAGCATACCCTGTTAAGTGTGAAAAATGCAGTAAAGATGACATTAAAAGAGCCAAGGTAAGAATATGCATTTTATCAGCGGAATCTTGCAATACATTGGGCTTCCATTCATGCCTGCTGGCACATCTTATATCCGCTTGAGATTCTTTCAATTGCCCTCATAATCGTTTCCCGTTATTTTCTTTGTAGTTGACACAACATCAGGATCCATTTCTTGGAGACTGTGCTGGTATACAGGGACCCTGTCCATTCTCACAGATTGGTTGCCCTGAAACTGAGGTATAGCGAGAAGAATATTTCTGTTTTAAAGAAGGTCATGTAACCGTTTATGGATCTTGAAGGTTTACCCAAATTTGTTCAAGGGCATAACTAGTTGCACCCCACCCTCCTGAAAAAAGGGGAAATCAAATCTAAGAAACAAGAAACAAGAAACAAGCAAACAAACAACAAGTTAGTAAAGGGATGATGAAGTTTGTGTATTAACTAGAGACGTGGCACTAACAGCATGGTTGCAGTGGTTAATGCACCGAAGAGTCCTCTTTTGAGTCTACGGAATTGGCTCACTTTTTTTTTTCTGTCAATTGGGTTTCATAACCCTGTCACGCTTTCTACGAGCTATATGAATGGAGGGGGTAAGTTTCTAAAGAAACTGTGGTGCTACGTCGGTGGGGGTAACAAGGTAATTTGGTAATATCAACTAAGTTGAAATTGTAAATTGGCTAACGTAAAGAGTTCAAAAGCTGAAGTTTCGAGCGTTAGCCCTTCGTCAGAGCGAATGGAGGAATTGTGGGTTGCGTGTGGCTTTCTATGCAGAAAGTGGAGCTACGCCATTGGTGGGAACATGGTGACGAGAAAAACACGAATGAAAAGCGTTCGTTGATACCTATGGGGTTAAGAGTCCCGATTTGAAAGATAAACTTTTATTCAAGAATTTTACGACTTTCCAAGCTACCTAAACGGTAAGGAAAGACCGCAGAAGTTCATTACAAACTAATGACAAACCCGGCACCTTTAAATGCGCTTGCGCACGATGCAAAACTTTCCGATTCCGAGAACACCTTCGCGACGTAGAAAGGAATGACAGGGACGCATCAAAACCAGTCGCTAGACACTTTAATCTACCTAATCATTCTAAGCAGCATATGGCAATCTGCGGTCTTCCTTACATTTAAGTAGTTCAGAAAGTCATAAAACTCTTGAACAAAAGTTTATCTTTCAATTCGACACTCTTAACCCATAGGTATAAACGAACGCTTTTCATTCTACTAATTTATTCGTGTTCTTCTCGTCACCATGTTCCCATCAATAGCGTAGCTCCACTTTCTGCATGTAAACCCACACGCAACCCACAATTCCTCCATTCGCTCTGACGAAGGGCTAACGCTCGAAACGTCAGCTTTTGAACTCTTTACGGTAGCCAATTTACAATTTCAACCTAGTTGATATTACCAAATTACCTTTCTACGAACTAGTCGTTCTATTAATTTGCTCGATCTCAGGCGCCATTCAATCTTAAAATATCGGACTGATTAAAGGTATTTATTTCAGCCCCACGTAATTCTAATCCTTTCAGTTTACTCGAAAACCGTAAATGGATTCATTTTTGAGAAATTACTATCCTGCCTCAGCGGTCCATTCAAGTATTTTTTCATTTGTTGACTTAGAGTTATAAAAGTAGGTAACTGAAGCGCCACGTTTTATGCACGCTTTTCTCTTATACAATTTAGGTCCTTACCCGGGAGCAAAGAGAAGAACATTTGGAGCAAATGAACACTTACCACACAACGTTGATTTTGCGCCATGCCCTACGATTTAGCAGAGAACTAGAAGCATTGCTGATTCGAGATCCAAGAATCGTGTCCAGAGATCCGCACATCCTTCCAAATTACGAGAGTGTAATTACAGATTTAGTCTCTCAAATTCAAATACAGGCGGGTGAAAATAGAAATCTGATCCTAAAACATCAAGAGCAGAGCGAAAGGATCACCGCTTTGGAGAGAAAAGTGGCTTCGGGAAATCTCTCAAGAGCTGGTCCTTCCGTTCAAATAGCCAGTGGGTCCAGTGGGTCCAGTGGCGATGCTCAAAATCCTGAGATTACACGAAGGGTCACTTTTGTTGAAAACCGAACCGCTGACCACGAGGTTCTTCTGGTGGAGAACAATCGTACAATGGAGGAAGTTAGACGTGACATGGGTAATATGAAAAGACAACTTGATACCACCCAGGAGAGCTCTAGGAGGCATGACCGAAGGATTGAATCTATCGAGCACACGCTGGCACTTAGAAATGTAACCCTGGCTGATTTGGAGGAATACGTAAAACAACAAGAGTTCTCAAGCTACGATGGCCAGCTGTTGTGGAAGATTTCTGATTACGCTCGCAAACGAAATGACGCAGTCACTGGACAGCAAGTCTCCTTCTATAGCCCTTGTTTCTACACCAGTCGCTATGGCTACAAAATGTGCGCCCGCATTTACTTGAACGGGGATGGAATGGGCAGAGGAACCCACATCTCGATCTTCTTTGTAGTCATGCGCGGTCAGTATGACGCACTGCTTCGCTGGCCATTCAGACAGAAGGTCACGTTCATGTTGCTGGATCAAGATAACGTGGAACACGTGATTGACGCCTTCAGACCTGATCCGAACAGCTCATCCTTCCAGAGGCCAAGAAGAGAAACTAACATCGCCAGTGGATGTCCAATGTTCTGTTCGCTTGCTGAGCTGAACAATCATGCATATGTCAGGGACGATGCCATGTTCCTGAAAATAATTGTGGATACATCTGATCTGTAAAGCAGAACTCGAACATTCTTCCTTTGGTTGGTTCCAGTTAAGGCTAAACAAATTTTCTTTAATTACTTTATGTTATGTTAATCAAACCACTGCACTTTTTAAGCTCAGGGTATTTTATTTGTCATCTATTTTAACTTTCAGGAAAGCTCATGGCAACTGCCTGGGTACGGGTAGAAATTGAGGTCATTAAACCTACGTTGCGAGAATATGCTATTTTGCTGCGTTTTTCCTTTCTCTAAAATCCCGTCCATGACATTCTCCCTTCCCATGCCGTTTCGAATGACCGGAACCTCAGGCCAACAACTTGGGTTTCCCATGCCGTCGAATACCATAGCAACCTTATCATACAGGAAATAATGTTTGGGTATCATGTTTCAAACTTTGAAAAATTGAAGACACATTTTGATTAATGCTTTTCACGACTTCACTTCATCTTGCCTTTCAAAATATGATTAGCATGTCAACATAAATAAGGTGTCAGCGTTGATGTTTTTCAAGCATAATTCAATAAATTTTCGCTACTGTGACTAACAAGAAAACGCAAAAAATCGCCTCGATAGGGCTGACAATGCCACGATACTCACTCACTATCAGTTTGGCTGTTTTAATTTTGTCAACTACTGTTTTCACGTTAAATTTTTACATTTACTTTGTGGACCAGAACTTGGTTGGTCAACTCTGGACGGGAAATTTGCTTCATCAAAGCATCATCAGCGCAAAGTAAGTAAATCTTAGGACATATTCTACTAGATTTCTCAAAGAACCTTGGGTTGCAAATTATTTTGGGCTAATTGTAATTTTTTAGTTTTTAAACGGGATTTGTAACTTGAATTAAAAGAAAAACAATTACGATTCAAATATATTTTTGGATTTTATGATGGCTTATCGGGTAGATGCAATCGACGGTAGAATCAATAGCAAATCGATACTAGCATTAACCGATTGATGTTTTGCGGTAGCGATTTCTACTTTTAACAAACGATCGGTGATAACACTGTCGATTGACCTTGTCACGATTGCTGTATTTTAAAAATAACACAAGGGATAGGGGTTTAACACTGTCGATCGATTCTAAAACTACGATTGATAATTCTATCAATCTGCTTCGGAACTTCAGCGATGTTTAATCTCCGCTTTCAACTGGAGTCTTAAAAGGGCGTCAACTGAAATAACACAAGTGATTGAGGTTCAGCGTCGACGATTGACCATGTTACAACAGCAACTAAAACGATTTACAATTACGATTTGCTGCTAGCACTAACGATTGAGTTTTATCGCTAGCGATTCATGTTTTAAGCACAAATTGCTCCCCGATCATACACAATGTTGTTTGCTTTAGCAAAACAATGTATTTAAAAAAAGTTGTGGAATTGCTAGACATTTCTCTACAAAAGCCTAACACTCTTAAACTTCGTAAAGTGGATGTCGCGTGCTGAGTAAATTCTTTCGAGATCTTGACTTTCTTCCTATAATTTCATTCATTCCCAGTTTTCTGGAAAAACAAAAGCAACATTGAATATATATAATTTCTTAGGATCCTTAGCAATGACGAAATTAGAATGACATTCAAATGGAGATCTACACAGAAGATAGCCTTTAAAGACTGTTAGAAAACACTGAGATAAACAGAAAAGCTGGAAAAGAAAGGGCTCACCCAAGGTTCCACCCTTTGTTTTTTTATAATTAACGATCTACTTGCTCTTCGAATAAGTTTTATAATCATAAATTCAGCGTGGAGAATGAAAAATGGAAGTGATTAACACGAATAATCACCTTGAACAGTCTTGGCCATAGACAGTTTTGCCTAAACCATTTTCTGTAATAGATTGGTCGAGACAAAACCATACTGAACAAACTGACTGAGTGGTACTGTTTCTTTCTAGCTTTCGTGGCGGCCATTTTGAAATGCGAAGGGTACGGCGGAACAGAATTTCATAATTTCAAGCGAGACATCGTTGACGTATTTATTGACTTCACTATATGTTGAAAGAAAAAAGTTTGTTTAACCGTGTTCAAAATTTAAAAATAAAGAGAGTTCTCTTCTGACCGTGAATTCAACAAGGATTAAACACGAAACGATGAATAGGAAGAATAAAAAATGTAAGAAAGATATTTTCGAGGAAATTCATGTACAGAAATTAACTTGACACAGGGCAACAGACTACGAGTAGTCCCTCCTTTTCGGCTAAGTCCGTCGCGTGAGTAAAAAAAAAAAAAAAAAAGGTGGAAAAAAAAAAGGCTGATGCAAGCGCGCCGCGTGGAACTCTTAGGGGTGACACCGATACACTCGCCTCACTCATGGAGCTCCTGTGGCGTATCAGCGTCACTCCCATAGTTCCCCGCGGCGCGAACAACAACTTTTGTCGCTGACTTTTTTTTTCTTCGACGCACACGATGGACTTCGCAGAGCAATTTTATTTTCTATTATTAGACGGATTAACTTTTTTTTTTTTTTTTTTCCCAAAAAAAGAGCTTGTTACCGCGGAGACTGAACAGGCACTTTTCACATCGAATCTACGATAGGGGACGTGTTTTCTTGATCAAAAATAATAGCAGTTTGCCGAGTATTTTGTGAAGTTAAATAGACTATTTTTCACAGTAAGGAGTTAGAGAATACTCTAGTTCAGTATAAAATAATGTCCTAGAGAGAATAAAGGATCATCAACTAATTATTTTTATTTTTTATTCTTTGTGCTGAATAGCTTACGTTAAATATTCATTCATATTCCCGAACGAATGAATTGACCGAATGACATATATGGAAAACTCTTGCTTGATACCAATTTTGTCTTGTAAAATTGTTTCTTAATCAGGCATAAATCAAGAAATCTATGCCACCTCGACTTACAAAACAAACGCACAAAATCGCCTCGATAAGGCTGAAAATGCGAAACCCACTTAAGTATCTGTTTGGCCTTTTTCATTCTGGAATCAATCAGTGCTTCCACGCTTCTTATAATTACTTTTTGTTTGTGGATGGAAGCCACTACGATCCAGACGGGAGGGAGACTGTTTCATCAAAGCATCACTAGCGCAAAGCAAACCTTAGATGTGACAATTTCAGTAAAATATTTTCAATTGCCTCCGGGTCGATACCAATGCTCACTTCCGAGGCAATCTTTCAAGGTCAGTAGAGTTGAATTATGAAGTTTGATTCAAAGTATTAGGACATAAGCATGAAATAAACCCACGAACATCGCATGGTACTTGGATATCACTTTATTGACAGAACTTTTTCTTAAAGCGTTTTATGAGTATGGATATTTGGAAGGTGAAATTTTCTCAAATATGGTCCGAAAAAAACATAAAACAAATTTATGAGAGATACTTGAGTATGAATTCTATTGTGTTCATTCTGTTGTTTATTTGAAGTTCCAGGGCTATATGTAAATAATTTAGTTACAAATACCCCCAAAATTACAGATTCTTTCGATATCTGCCGCCCCGTCAAAGCAAACGACTTCCTCTAAGGTAACCGTAATTGAATGAGAAGCCAGTTTGTCGCTGTTTGACGGCTCAGAGGTTAAAAAAAAAACATGGCAAATCACCTCCGGGCTGACCGGTTAGCGCGCATGGAAAGCGCTCTTTAATTGTTTGGTATATGCTAAAATTAACTCCAGATCAAAAGGTCGCTGTTTCAGACCCGGGGCTCCTCCGGCCAAAGCCTTGTCATATGAACTTAATATACCCTTTCGCACCCAAGATCTCATCAGGAATTTCTCCTTACTGTCTGCCATACAATCCTTACGATGTAAGCTCAGAGAATTTGGTATTGGATCAACTAACAATCCCCTAACAATCTCATTCCCTAATTGCTATTTTTCTTTATTCTTATCACCTTTCTGCTTGACATTGTAAGGAGAAATTCTGTTTTAAGTCAGTCATAGGGGTTAAGGGACTAATCTTAAGTTGAGCGGTGGCGAATCCTAAGGAAGGGCTACCCCCCCCCCCCATTATCAAGACAGAGGGTTGTTTTTTTACCACTTGTTTCACTCCAACGTTCTTGTTACGCGAACAGGATCGCATATTACTGATCAAATGAGCAGGATGTGAAAGTAGAGGGGGGGATGGGGGGAAGACATAGGTGTGGGCTGATCGAGAAGTAACTTTCACCCCCCCCTTCTCAAAATTTCAAGGTCTGCAGTAACTTAACCTCAGTATGTCTAACATTTTTTTTTAAAAAAACAGATCAAATGAGTGGGATGTGAAAGTAGAGGGTGGGGTGGGGAGGGTGGAGGGAAGGCATAGATGTGGGCAGATGGAGAAGTAACTTTGATCCCCCACCCTCTCAAAATGTTAAGGTCCGGAGTAACTTAACCTTAGTATGTGTAACATCATATCTTTTTACAGCAGTTACAGCAATATCACCGCTGACAGACAAGTTTTCCGTCCCGCGTCAACCACTCCCCCACTGAGGTGCAGCCCACACAATAACATCCTTTTCTTAAAAACTCATAAGACAGGCTCAAGTACCATAGCAAATATTTTTTACCGCTATGGAGACTTAAGAAATCTTACATTTGCTCTTCCGGGCGCTACATTACTAGGATGGCCAAAGAGATTCCAAGTCTACTTTCCTTTTCGTTTGCAAGACAAAACACCAGACATCCTGTGCAATCACGCTAGATTCAACAAAAAACACATGAACTGGCTTTTTCCCAAAACAACCAGCAAGTACGTGACCATTCTTCGGAATCCAGTGGACAATTTTGAGTCAGCGTTTAGATACATGAATTTGGGAGGACGCAAGTGACATTTTTTTGGCGGCATGTGATGGTCGAAGTGAACAATAAATGTAGAAAACAACCAAAACCTGTAAGTCTCAAAACCCCCGAAATTCGACCATTAACATCGACAACTGCCATCCAAAATACGGAATTCTGAAAATATTTTGCACTTAAAACAGTCACTTAAAGCTTATTTTAGAATAACTCTTAGTTAATTAACTTACTCGTAAATATTCTCGTAGTTATGGTATTATACATTTGTTTTATACTGTCATATGTAATTGTAATGTAATTTGTTTTATGCAGGGCCCCATTTAAACCAGCATATGCTGAACAGGGCATCTCTGCTAAAATATTGTTGATAAATAAATAAATATTGAACAATACGCTGCGAAAATACTACGCCAGGCGCGCACTTTCTTAGTGACGAAGATGTCGCGACGAAACCAATCAAAGAGGCCATAAGTGCAAAGCATAGTGGTTTTCTCGCTGGTCTCCAAGGAAACACTTGCAGCGCAGAACAACGTTTTTGTATCAAATAAAAAAGCGCTAATTAAGTTGTGAAAACTTTTCATTTTGTGCAATGTAGTAGTCTGAAGAGTTTCATAATCCCTCGATCAAAAGCTTTGCTTTGATTTTGAATTGTGCACTGATGAAAAGATATTCCCATGAATGTTAACGATTCCTACGAGTTTATCTGAGGTCATTAAGTCCTGTCACTGGTACAAAAAGGAATTGTTCAGGCTCTGCGTCAGCAAAAAATTAACTAGAAATTTTTTTCGTGTATGCAAGCTATAAAAATGCGTAGCCTTTCTTCTTGTATCCGCTGTCTTCATTTACTTAACAAGGAGATTAAACGTGAACCGTACGACTTATTCTTTATTATTATTATTATTATTATTATTATTATTATTATTATCCGACAGTTGTAAAAACTTATGTTTGCCATAAGATCATACACAGAGTAGGGACTGGGGCGATTAACGTGGCCCTGGCTGCGCGTAGGAATAGAATCTTCCTAAACTTTGAAGACGTAAATAAATAAATTAATAAAAATTAAATAATAAAATACATCTATATCTAATAATCTGATAAACACAAGAAACTTGGGAACGAAAAATCTGTAAAAGTTATATAAGTGAGCTCCTTAGCTATCGATCTAGTGATAATTTTAAAAGGTCTTGAAATGTTCAAGGTGTTCGAAAGGACAGCTTTCTGCATTTTTCTTAGGATCCCCTCTCCCCGGCCTCCGAACTCCGAATAGCTCTATCTTAGACACGTCCACAACTCTCGACCATCCGCCCAGGACATCAATGATGATATTATGTTGTTTGATGGTGTATCCTGGATACTGCTGAGCCATCTCCCACCTCAAAGGACCATACTTTACAGTCTTCTCCTTGGTCTTCGT